TTAACTAATAATTACACTAAATGTTGTCTCAAACAATTTCATATTTATAAGAGATACGAACTATCTGACAAGAGTTTTATTTTTAAAATTATAATTGAAAAAGGAAGTGAGCTGATTGTTTTTATTGATATATGATGTTTTACATTGACGCGATGATCTACATCACAAGAGAACTGATTATTTAAGAAAGAGAAAGAGAGAGCATGATAATTCTTTTTTCTATTTTCTAGTTGAAATTGGAATGAAAAACTTCTAAGATTAGTCGATAAGGATTATTAGATATTAATTGAAATATAAGTTTCAACAATTAATGAGAAACACAAATGATTTTTTTGTGAAAAAATATTTAGATAAACAGTTTAGCTTCTTTATAATTATATTATTAATGACTGAAAATCTATAAATAAAAATTTTTTTTGTCGATTTTAGATTGTAAAAGTATCAAACTATCAACAAGATATCAACAATGATCAGCAACAACAGAATCGGAGTTGATAATGATGTAATTTATTGAGAAAAAGAAAAATCATAAAATATAATATCTGTTGCTTTTTTGATTATTTTAGTCTGAAACAGTTACTTCGAATGCAGCTCAATCAAAAAGATTGTATGTATGTTATGAATTGTAGACGATAATAAAAAAGATTTATTATTCTAGATGTGAATTTCTGAAAAAACGAAAAGTGATGTGCATCACATTTATTATTATTGTACTTGCTATAATTGTAATAATTCCAACTATTATCTACACAACAAAAAAGACCAACAGTGAAAAAACATCAATAACAGAAGAAACACCAATTGAAACAACAGAAGGAACAACAATTGAAATAACAGAAAAAATAGAAATAACAACAGGTAGTTAAAATGCTATAATTATTTATTTTGAAGTTAATATACGATAAATTGTTCCAAATGATCGAAGTAGAACTTCATTGTTTATCATAACTAGAGATGTACCGAGCCCGAGAGGCCCGGGCTTGGTCAGGCTCGGAGCTCGGTCAGAATTGAGGCTCGATCATGCTCAGAGCTCGGGGTGGATCAGGATCAGGGCTCGGTACATCCCCAATAATAACAACTTATACATGATACTTCTAAGCAACAATATCAAAAATTGTTCTGAGATTCATAATGAAATTTTTAGCATGTAGAGGAATATTTATTAAGAATAAGTCTCCGAGAAAATCAGATATCAATGATACTTTGACATCTCAGATTTCGCTTAATATTTTTTGTATGTTATAGATAGCAATAACGTTAGTATTAGCTGAGATTTCCAGCTCGATTGTATTACTCCTTCCTACACGAATAAACATAACATGAGCGGAGTTTTCGATATTTGTTTGTGATTGATAGATTTGTTTTCTGTCCATCACATACTCACTCAAACTATCAGAGTTTATATAGTCTACAGAACATTCCATATCTTACTGAAATGAAAATCTAGAAAGTTTTCTCATCATAGGTCTTATTTAGTAATTTCAATTATTTCTGAGAGATATCGAGTTTCCTAATCAATTAAACTAAAGAACAAAACATCTAACTAAAGCCATCGCTCGAAAGCAAACCTTTTTGAGTCAAACTGTTTGTTTTGAGGCTTATTTTTCGAGTTCCACTTTGAAGATACCCTAGTAAACGAAATCTCTGTGGGACTTGGAATGGCCCTATTCAAACTAAAGAATCACTACTGACAAATATTGCAAAAATAACAAAAAAAACACAGAGAATTATTCGATGAAATAAAATTAGCATTGGCGTATTTCAAAAAGAATTTGACTGATATTGTATATAAATTTAAAGCGCATTGTCCAAGATCTTAGACAATAAATAAGAAATAAAGCTATTTTAGCAGCTCTGATTACGATCCAATGATGTCATCTTGAAGTTTTTCTCTGTACCATAAAGAATCTTTTAACAGTATAACTAGCTACACTACAATAATCAATAGTTTTGAAAAGTAAGCGATGAACTAGACCGACGTGAATTGATTCTGTTTTATGATAGTTAAACATAAGCTGTAAGCTTTGGCCGGAATGTCATCTTGAATGAAAATGAAATATTTCAAGAACAGTAGGAGTATACAAATGTTATATGAGTTAATTTCTACAATTCTGCCAATGTTTCATTATTAAACTTATAAAAAATGTAAAATGAGTTGTCAAAATTATTATAGTAGAGATGTGCTTAAAGTAAAGATTATAGAATTGCAATTATAACGTAGGGCACCTAAAGGTTTCCGATGTTATTATACTGCACTAATAGTTACGGTCGATAGATTGTTAGAGAAGAAGAAGAAGAGGAGGAGGAGGAGGAGGAGGACGACGACGACGACGACGAAAGAAATTAGGAATAAAGCCTTATCCAATCATTTAGTCTCTTTCTAAACTCATTTTTGTAATCTAGAATCACCTACCACATCAACTTCAACAACAATATCAACAACACCATCAAGTTAGTAATATGCTGGATGATTTGTAATAGCCTAAACTATGAGTATCACAAATGACCAAATCTAAAAATTTTGATTTTAGCTGTTCAGTGTTTCTCATCTAGATCTAGAATATCAAAGAACTTTGTATGAGGGCTAGACACAGGATCAAATTTTGATAACTTAGTTTCATTTATAAATAGTCAGATATTAGATATGTTAATTGATTTCGACAGTATCATGCAAATATGTTGTCGATAAAAAGATTCTCACATGGCAGAATTCAGTGATCACTTTAAGAACTACTCATTACATCGGAAAAGGTTGATGATGATAGATACTATGACTAAATAAAGTCAGATAACGTCATTGCTTGTAAATATAGCATAGAAGATAATTGGAAATATCCATGAATACTATCATGCATCAACCAGAGCATGTAAGAAATGTAATCTTTATTGAGTCATTTTTGACGATTTATGTCCAGTACTATTTGTAGCTATCACTATTTCTCGTAGTACACTGTCAGTACGAGTCTATTACAAGTACCATCTGTATCAATTAGTTACATTAAAATTTAGACAAATTCGCATATTAAACATTTCTAGCTGATCATAGTTGCTTATTTGAGAATAGAGGTGAATCTAAGAAAAATCCTCTTTTATAACTGAAATAGTAGGTTCTAATCTATATTTATTCATGGTATGCTCAGTATTAATCCGATTTATCGGTATGATTATACACGTAGAAGTACCAGTTGATATGAACACCTAATCTCATGTTTCAGGTAGCATTTATATAGAATCAGTGTGTTCGAAAGAAGTTGTAGTTGGATAACATACTAACTTGATACTGGTGAAATACATCTTTCCTAAACATCGATTTTTTCATGAGAATGATGTGAGCATTATATTCTCTCATGCACAGTCACATTCATTCCAGTGGTGAAGCCAGGGTTTTGAGCTAGAAGAGAGAGGAGGGTTCAGCCGCCGGAACCGTTTTAGTCCATCTTAGGAAGTATAATTTTTTTACGCAACCGGTGTAAATTTTCTTTTTCACTTTTTCACACTAGGCTGGATAGAGCTCGTCGAATTGGGTAAGAACTGGTTAGTTTTTATATTTTTACCAAAGTGCTGAAAGACTCATTTTCTTGAAAAAAAATATTAAAAAAACTCATCTTTTAATGTTTTTTTTTTCCAATTGTAGAGAGCTTTTACATTTCTTCGGACTATGAAAATAACATATTTAGATTTATCGTGAAAAACTGCATCGATCTGACCTTTTTTTGATATTCCTTAGTGAAAATATGCTTGTAAAATGAAGAGGATTCAAAAGTGAAAAAAACGTTAAAAGATGAGTTTTGTCGAATATTCTCTCCAGAAATTGAAGCTTTCAGCACTTTGGAAAAAAATCGAAATTTATCAACGAAAATCTTTCGAAAAAAATATAAAAACTGATATATTCTTACTCAGCTCGACGAGCTCTATCTAACCAAGTGTGAAAAAGCGAAAAGAACTTTCACTTTAATTTTGTGTTGTTTGCACCTTACGTTATCAAATGAGTGAAATATGAAACTGAGAAATCTTTAGAATCTAGATGAAGTTCATATTAAATGTGTTTTTATTTGTTTAAAAAGTACATATGATTTCCACACAATAAGGTATATCTCATACGGTATTCCACTACAAAGAATAATAAGATTTTGTATCAGAGAAACATATTTTTCAAAATCTTGCTAGGGGGGGGGGTGAGCGCCTTCCTCTCCCTCCCCCGGCTTTGCCACTGATTCCACTTGCAATTCAACTACAACAAAAAAAAAACTCAAAGTTTCATTGAAAAATAATCTTTTCTTTTTTTTTCGTCGATAAAAAACAATTTTCTTCTTCTTTTCATCAAAATCCTTTCTTTTTTTCATTCTTTTCTAGAACCGAAATTTGACAAATGGAAACAAAATGCCATCACTGTGGCTGGTGGAAATGGACAAGGACAAGAATTAAATCAACTCTATGATCCTGTTGCAATCTTTATTGATCAAAAGAAAAATATTTTCATCGCTGATCAATATAATCATCGTATTGTTGAATGGAAATATAATGCAAAAGAAGGACACATCATTGCAGGTGGAAATAGCAAAGGAAATCAAATGGATCAATTAGATCGGCCAACAGATGTAATTGTTGATCAACAAACTCATTTGATTATCATTGCTGATTGGGGTAACAGACGCGTGATTCAATGGTTGAATCAAAAGCAACAAATTCTTATTCAGGATATTGGCTGTTTTGGTTTGGCAATGGATAAACATGGATTTCTGTATGTTTCTGATACTGTGAAGAGTGAAGTGAGACGATGGAAAATGGGAAAATATAACAACGAAGGAGTTGTAGTAGCAGGTGGAAATGACAGAGGAAATCATCTCAATCAACTCAGTTCTCCTATTTTTATCTTTGTTGATGAAGATCAATCTGTTTATGTATCTGATATGCACAATTATCGTGTGATGAAATGGAAAAATCATGCAGAAGAAGGAACAATTGTGGCTGGAGGAAGGCTTAATCAATTGGGTGAATCTCAAGGGGTAATTATTGATGATTTGGGTCAAATCTATGTGGCAGATTTTTATAATCATCGAGTAATGCGTTGGTGTGAAGGAAAAGAAGAAGGTGAAACTGTTGTTGGTGGAAATGGTAAAGGAGATCAATCAAATCAATTGGATAGTCCCGGTGATTTATCTTTTGATGATGAAGGAAATCTTTATGTTGTTGATGGGAGAAATCATCGGATTCAAAAATTTGAAGTAACTTCGTGAATGAAATGTTAATTTTGAAAGAAAGTAAAAAGAAATTTATCGAATAAATAATCGAGAAATAAAAGAAAAAATAAAGTTTGAGGATTTAAGTAAGGTGTGTGGGCGTAGATCTGAATATCTGATATACATGAAAAGCATATCAACACCCACCCTCTTGAGCGACATAAAAGTTCAATATGATTTATGATTATATCCAAATCATTCTTGTACTTTTTTCTTCTATATGTTAAATACCTACGTGCATATTCTAATCTTTTATGATTGATGAATCTAGAGGAAAACTGATTTTAATTTTCTTAACCTTATTATAAATATTTTCATTTATTAAGTTTGTGATGAATAATAATCAAATAGCAAACTTTTTTCTTTTATTTTATACACTTCCAACTTTGTTTTTCTTCATTTTGATTCAAAGCCGACTTAAGTAATTGTTTGATTTTAAAAGCTCTTACATCTTCATGATATGATTCTGTATACTACAATAAATTTAACACTTTCCAAAGATTTGTATCATATGCTCAAATGTTTATATATACAGGATTAAAAATTTCATATAAAATAATCCACTTTTTATTCAAATGATAAATATTTATGCAAGATACTATAGATAGTGATGAGTTACAATCTTATTTTTATGTCTATTGAATAAATTAAAGGTTTATTTAAAAGTCTATGTGTTTATTTGAGAAAAAATTGATAGTGTTCTATTGAAAATCAAATTGTGGTTTTCCATGTTTATAACCTTCCAAAAACTTCTTTAGTAATGCAGTAGGAACTTTAATTTTTTGAACAGCTTCATTTGCTTCCATTGCATTAACCCATGCGGCGAGTTTAGATAATTTTCCATCAGAATTAAATTCAAAACCTGCTTCACCCAAAAATTGAAAACGTTCAAACCATGGCCATAACATATAATCGATCATGGCTGGTTTTGATCCACCAAAAAATGTATTTGTAAGTGCTTCTTCATATATTTTTAAGTTTTTATTTAAATCTTCAACACCTTGCTTAGGATCTTCTCGCATAATTTTATAAAATGCAGTTGTAATCTAAAAAAAGAAAAGATCTATATTGAGATAAAAATATAATTTGTTTTTATTTACACCGCTAAATCTGTCAATTAAAACACGATGTTTAGCTTTTAGATATGGATCGGTTGGTTGAAGACGATTTTGTGAATATGTTTCATCAAGATAATCACTAACAATCAGTGATTCAGGTATAAATTTCGTTTGTTTTGAATCATGATCAATCCATTCTAAACCTGGAACTTGACCAGGTGCATTCTTTTTTAAATACCATTCTGGTTTATCAACAAGATTGATATTTATTTCTTCATATCTAGAATAATTTCATAGATATTACAACTGATCAAATAGAAAATAAACTTACGGAATGTTTTTAGCGGCTAAGACAAGTCTAGCACGTTGAGCATATGGACAAAATTGCATACTATATAATCGTAATTGATTTTCTTTCAATGGTGGACATTCCGAACCTATGTAAAACTAATTCTATTGAATTATGTGAAATTTATATATATATATACCGGAACTATGATGTTTTGGGTAACTTGGCATTGTTGATAAAAATCTTAAATGTTGTTTGAAAATTAATAAAAATATACTAAACTAAACTTTTTTCTTTTTATTTATATGCCTTCACAAATATGCATCGTCATGATGTCTTACATACTTTTTTTTCTGATAAAAATAAATCATTACCAGACACTTTTTTAGATGCATGAACATGACTCTGACAAGTCGTTATGTCAAGAACACAGTAAAACATGAACTTTGTACTAACAGTAGAAAAAATGCATGATCATACTCAGCTATTCTATTACTAAACTCTATTAATTATTTTGTCATTGATTGATTTGAGTAGATTTTATTTATAGAATTGCTACAGTATATCATTTAAAAAGTATTTTGATAAAAATATTAATAGAAACATATTATAATAAGGTCTTTGAATAGCTAAGAGTTATAACGAACAAGAAGCTGACATAGAAGTGTTGTTATTGTTCATAGGTGTCGTATTCGATCATGTATGAGTAATATCTTTCATTCGTTCATCATCTTACCTTTCAATTCTAAGAATTAAACTTGTTATCCATTCTTTCTGAATATATGAATACCTCTTTTGTAATGATTTATGGAACTAAACCAAACATAGACTAATAATTACAAGACTATTATCAATACAATAACTTAATAAAAATAGTAGCATAAATTTATTTGAAAAGATAATAATATATGATTAAATTTAAGATTTGAAAATATCAATTCAACCGTTTATCTTCAATGCGAGATTCATATAAAGTTGTCTTATAAACTGTTTTCAACATGAAGAATTTGAAGAAAAAGTCTTAACAAATTCTTTAAAAGAAGAGCAACAGTTGAACGAACAGGTGATATACTATTTTACGATTCTTTTTTTCACGTAGCAAAAGAACTTTGAGTAAAAAAATATCAGTACGAACGCATTGATATATTATCGACATTTTATTCTTTTAAGAACTCAAAGGTGTATTTGGCATAGTCATCGAAAACAACTTCTTTTCGATATTAAACAATAATTTCTAATTGAAAGATAAAAGAAATATTTCTGCTTGCAGAGAATGTGTAGTTCTTTTTGATATTTATGAGAAGTGTGGGTGTGGATATGAGCAGAATACAACAACAGACACACCCACACTCTGACAGCACACGCCGAATTTTCATCCTTTACAATGCACCCTAAAATTTAATTCATCTTACATTTCTGAATTAAAAGTTCTGCTATCGTGAAACATGGTCATCGAAAATGTATGACATTTAGAAATTCAAAATAGATATTCACTCACAACCACACACTGAAAGCTTCGTAACTACTGAGAGCAACAAACCAATTCTCCGAATATACATCAAATGTATATTCACCTGACTAATATTCACATATAGGTAGTAATGCATTATTCGTATCTTTGCATGATAAAACGATAAGGACAGTGTCTACTTTCATCAGAAAGAATATTTACGCATTATTTGTGTTTTTCTTTTTAGTTAGAAACTAAGCGAGTGTAATAATGACGCAGTACAAATGGTTTATTCCCATTGAATCAATGTTTTATGAAGCTTTATATTATTATTACATTCATAACTGGGGTATTGAACCAATGCCTAGCAATGTCAATACACATAAAGAAGCTTTAATTCGAAATGGAAAAAATTGGCCATTTCGCACACATAATACGAAAGCGAGGTTAGTATCGATTTTGTTCTAGACATTATCAGTTTCTTTCGTCCAATACAGATATACATGTCATAATTGTAAGAAATCGTGGAAATCATCTCATACAACGATGATTTGGAGAGCTCATCGAGAGACAAGTATTGTTCAAATTCGTGTCGAAAAACAAGGCTGTCAAAGATGCAATAGAAAATGTCAGGTATCTAGCATTGACGAAGAGGAACTAGAAATTGCTTTAGATTGGATGTGCATCTGGATCCTGGATATTTTTTATGGAGTCAAAAATGAAGACACCAATGAGGATCGTGATAAACCCGACGAAACAGATGAATCAAAAGCCCCACATGATTCTGTCCGTTGTGAAGCTGGAACGAAAGGCACATGCAGAAAATGCAACGAATTAAAAAAAAAGCATCGTTAATTTTTACTTTTATTTCTTGTAAACCAGATCGAATAAAATATAACAACATATATTGTGCATTTCTTCTCAAATATAGGGATCCTCGTATGCAATTTTAAAGACTCGTTTTTATTAATTCTTTTTATTTCAATCAAATTCAAAAAAGATTAGTATCATTATGCATATTATATAGTTGTTTTCTATCGAGCAGCTTAGGAGTTTTCGCTCGACCTTGTGGATATAGCCACTTTTCCAAGCCATCTAACCGTCCCACATGTTCAATAGCATAAGCGGCTGCTTTAACGACTTTCTCATATGCAGATGGATTAACATTTGTAATTCTATCACATTGTTGATGATAACATGAATCATAAGGCGCATTGGCTATTCCCGCATTTCCCGTTCCCATCAATGCTGCATATTGATCTCGTTCATCTGGTGATTTGATCCCACCAGCCCCTGTATTTACACCGCCAACAGCTATACCACTCGTCAAAAATGGTACGAAATCACTACCTCCTCCAACTCCGGATTCAGTCCACGGCAGTTTCTGTTCTTTAAACCATTGTTGAAATAGATCTGTGATTCGATCAGTAGCGTAGACTGCGTGGTCGGGTGTTCCTGATGGAACTTGTACACTGTCAGAAATACCAAAATTAGGATTAGGAGAAGCTAACATATCATAATTGAAATATAATAGATAATCTTCCAAACGTCCGCTTTCA